TGTATTAAATAGTTGTATAATTTTGAAAGTTGTTGTATTTTTGTTAGGGCTGTCAATTTGTGGGTTTGGGTGTTGAAGAATATTAGTTGTAGACTAGAGGTTGTTTTGTAATTGTTGGAGTCGTATATGGGTACTTGAGCCCATGAAACCTTGATCATTTAAGCGGATTAGGAAGTTGGAGATGTGGTGTTGTAGTTAGATATCCCATACCATATATATTATGATTGAGTAATGTACTGTTAGGTGTAGTAATAGGTAATTTGGCTTTATGTTAATCAAGTTTTTTCTATAGTTGTAATATTTTGGTGCTGATTGTGTGGATGAATATTCTTGCCTACACCTTCATTATAAAGAAAAAGTTTCTCATACAAGTCTGAAGCTTTGTATCTATAATATAATTTTCAGAAGTTTAAAGAAAAGGGTTATCTTGTTGATGCTTACTTGTCTGATATCTCTGATTTGAAACTTTGTAGAGAAAAAAGTTCAGAAGATATGTGAATATTGATTATGCTAAGTGATTATGAAGAATAAGAATTTTTTTAAATTTAGATTGGTATATTGATCTTGAAGAATCTACAGATATGAAATTAGGCCTGGTACTGGCCTGTAAGTAGATACTACACAAGATGAAGGAATGGTATAACATAAATAATTAAGAAAATTAAGGTTATATTCATGATCACCTAGATATAAAAGATAGAAAATCAGGTTAGGCCAAGCTCATAAATAATTAAAAAAATAAAAAATAAAATCGAACATCTCCTGAGCCATAAAGTCAAAAGTAAAAATCAGTTAGTGTTATTAGTTGAGAGTATGACCAGGTTAGTAATTGAAAATAACAAGCTAAATAAAAATACTACAGACCTTAACTATATTATATATACTGACATCAAAGATATTTAATCTATTCTTGTCCAGACCAAGCAAAATGTAAATGATAAGAAAATGTTGCAGATGTGATAGATGAAAGAATGATCATGACATCTTTTAGGTGAAATGAGCATATAGCATTATAGGAAACTTATCATTTGAAAAGAAGCTCTAAGTCTAATCTGATAAATCAACAAATATCCAAAGTAAGTCCTGTTGAATTTTAAATAAAGGAAGTGGTTTAAAAAGAAAGAACTCAGTGAAGTGAAAAAAGAAGAAAGAACAATCTCTAATGAACTTACCAGACAAACCAACTTACACTTAGATTTACTAAATATCAATTCACTATCATTTCAAACTAGACACTACAAGAAATCGAAGCCTTGGCTAATCACATATAATGATAATCAGCACATTATTGTTGGAAAAGCTAGAAAATACAACCAAATTAATGATCTAATATCTATCACACACTGGGATATTACATTTGACAATACACATACTAACCTCTACCCATCACCAACCTATACATGCAAGCCATGTACAGGATGTTCT